CCCCAATAAATTGTTTAAAAAATTAATTTTTTTTATGAAAAGTGCAAACGAGTTCCAATTAAATTTATTTAAAAAAAAATTAAAAAGTGCAGACGAGTCCCAAATAAATTATTAAAGAATTAGAAATTAAAAAAAATATATTTTTATTTAAGTATGAGGGTATATTCATTATTTAACAGTTTTTTATTGAAAAAATGGATGGAAATAATGGTTTGTACAATCAAATGTGTAATTAATGATGAAAATGTTAAAAAAAGAAAGGTATGGACGTTTTTCACAATAAAGGTGAAATATATGAACATTATGTACTAATTATCCTTTTAATAATTTATTTGAGACTCATTTGCGTGTTTCAAAAAAATTGGGACTATGATTGCAATTAGTTTTTTTCTTTTGTTTTATTTTTTCGTCATTTCACAATTTTTAATTAAGAAAATGGATGAAAATGATCTTTTACGCAATGAAATGTGGAAATAAATTTGAAAATGCTAAAAAATAAAAGGTATCGACGTTTTCCGCAATACAACGAAATGTGTGGACGTTATATGCTAATTACCCATTTAACTCAGAGTCATGGGATTACATCTTTCATAAGCATGATTTTCTAAAAATATAAAAGAAAAATCAAGGTTGACAAATGTTTCTCAATTTAGATCAATAAATATATTGTTGGAAAATGGTTAATTCTAACGATAAAAAAGAGTGGAAATTACACTCGGCCTTGATTTTAAACTCCCCAATTCAAAATTAAGATTTAAAAGTTTTTTGTTAAAAAATCAAAGGAAAATTCAAGTTTTAAATATTATTATAAAAAATTAAATTATTTTACATATCTACCCCACCATCATCTACCCCAACCAATTTTTACTCACAAACCTTAATTATTTCCCTATTTTATCTCTCTCTATATCCACTCTACCAGGGCTGTGGCTGCGATACAGTGGCATCTTTATCGCAGCTGTAGCAGCGAATGACAAGAGTTTGGGGGCAAAGCTGTAGCAATGGTAAATGTCAGAGTTTGAGGGAATGATCTGCTATAGCGTAAGTGGCGATGTCGCTGTAGTTGGGTCGTGATCTAGTGTTGAATGAAGGGAAATTTGGGGAACGATTTGCTACAGTGGCGAATGACGGTGAATCTGGGTAAAATTTGGGTTGCAATTTGGTGGCGGAGTTTTTGGGGGTGGGATTTGTTGGTTGTGTTTTGAAGTTGGTAGTGGTGGGTTGTATTGGCTGTTGTGTTGGTTGTGATAGTGGTCGTGTTGGCTATGCTCAAGAGGTGGTGGTGATGTTGATGGTACTGATTATTTTTTGGGCTAGGTATTGTCGGTTGTGTTTGGATGTGGTTGTAGTAGTCATGGCGACGGTGGTGCGATGGTTGTGGTGGCAGGGCGGGGTGGAAAGAAGAGTGTATGTGTATGTGTATGTGTATGTGTATGTGATCAATTATTTGGTTGATTGTGTCCAAATAATTAATATATCACCTAAAAAATATGAAATTTTGACTAAATTTGTAATTATAACTCACAGTTTGTTAAGTTGTAATAATTTAATTTAATAATTCGTTATTAAGAAATAACTTTGACCAATTAATTTGATTATTTGTGACAATGAAATAAGTTGTAACACATAATTTTTGTGATTTGTGATAAAAAAAAATAATACTTGATTTATTAATTTGATAATTTGTGACCGATAAAGAAGTGTAACCTACAAAATTTGTGATTGCGACGTCTATAATAATGCGTATAAATTGTATAATATTGCGACCTTAATATATTTAATTAATAAAAATATTTTCAAATTAATTGTTTAATTAATAGAATTTAATTAAAACATAATTTCTTAATTTTAAAATTGTATTTTGCAATCACCTTACACATGAGATTTTCCCTAAAAAAGATGGTTAGTTTATTTGATGGTATTGAATATACTAAATGACATATAAATAAATTTATGTGAATATATTAAAGTCGAGTGATTAAAATGAAATATCACAAAACAAATGGTGATTTACTCGGTGTCAATAGAGTGATATAATTTATTCGATGGAAATTACAGTATACTAGAATTTTAAACTTTCAAGTTCAAAATTAAGATTTACAAGTTTTTATTTCAAAAATCCGATGTTAATTAAAATTTTAATAATTTAATATTTAAAAAGATAAAATTAAAATAGATGAGCCCGAATCCAACCCATCCACTTTAACCTTAATTCATCTTCCACTCTACCTATCGTTTCTCTCTCTAAAATCTCAAATCGCAGTCTTCACATATTAGCAGCTGACGACTCTTCACATTGTATGCCATAGCTAACCTTTTCCTTCACCTCCGAAGACCCTTCACGAATTATTCAAGCCATGGGTGTTGTGTGTTGCGTTGGTGCAACTGCACAGTCGTCTCCGTTCACTGCTTTTCTACTCGACGATGCTGGGTAGATGCGATGTTCTGATTTACTGGTTTTCATCCTCGACGAAGGTTCTAGATCTACGACGACGTTCTGGTTTTGGATATGTTGCGATGTTCTAGTTCTGGTAATGGCGTTGTGGAGATGGCGTAAGTAGATTTGATTTGTTGGTGGTGTTTGGGCAGCGATGGCGGCAATTTTGTGGATTTGGTGGTTGGGTGGTTGGGGTGCTATGTGCTATGGTTGGGTGCGATGGTGGTAACAGTGGTTGGATATGGCGTTGTGGTGGTGGTGTGCGGTGGTTGGGTATGGTGATGGTACAATGCTGTGTGACTGATAATTTTAGATCTAATTTTTTTGTTAGCAGTGGTGATTGATAACGTTGGCTATGGTGTTGGTGAGTTGGTGGTGGTGGTCGGAGGTGATGATGAGATGTTGGTGGCGATGGGTCTGTCGAGGTGGCGGTGGATCTGGCGTGACGATGTGGTAATGTTTTTCTGCAATGTGTTGATTTGTTTTAGATGATGTTGCCGTCGAGAGGTGGTGGTGGTTCTGGAGGCAACGCCGCAACGGTAGCGGGGGTGCTGCTGGAGGGAGTTGTGAGGTGGTGGTCACAAGTGTTGGTCGTGGTTACAAATTATTTAGTTGATTGTCACCATTAAATTGGTTAATCTATGACCAATAAATAATATGTGGACAATGAAAAAGATAAATTGTGACCAAAAAATCACGTGTGACCTAAATAATTGTTAATTTGTGACCGATAATTTGACTATTTGATAAGTTGTGACTTATAATATTTATGATTTGTGATCGATATATAAAATGTGACTTTTTAATTTTTAATTTGTGACCGATGAACAAATTGTGACCTATAATATTTTTGAATTGTGACCGTAAAATAGTTGACACATAAAAAATTTGATTCTGTGACATACAAATTTATTAATTTGTGACCAATAAAAGTAATACGTGACCTATAATTTAATGTTCTGTGAC